AATAATTTTACTTAAGTCAGGGCACAAATAGTTAAATATTATATTTATGAAACATTATAACTTTCACACCTACAAGAAGTTTGCATGCTAGCACTAGGAAGTTAACAAGCAGTTCCATCTCACGTCCCCCGCCCCCAAGTACTTACCTATTAGAGGAAACCATAGTCTTGGCAGGATTTGCATCAGAGCAACTTGCTTTAGCTCTGGGGAGAAGGGGTAGCAATAATGTTTAGGGACAGAATGTGGAATGTATTGTGTTCTCTCCTAATCCTCTGTTCAGCTCAGGTATGTGCCTCTACTTCGTGCTCAGACAAAATGGCTATTAATTTATCAGGAGTTTTGCTCTCAGTATAGATTTCAGTGTTCGGCTGCTAGTCAGGATTGTGCAGCTGAGCCTGGACTATGCCTCCAGACCTAAGCGTAATCAACAGAAATACAAAGCTCGTCACAAGATAGGTCTTCACTCAGGGAATACTGCCTGCACCTGAGTCTGTTTTATGAGGTTTCCTTTTTTGCAGTTTCTTAATGATCTCTATTTAAAAAAAAAAGTTGAAAAATAGCCTACTTTGCAATGCTATGCTGAGTGTGCATTTGCATTTTTGATTGAATTACATTATAATATAATTGCATTTAAGTCTCATTTTTTAGACTTGTAACCATATGACAGGTTTTAACATTGATAAAACAAAAATTAACATAGTATTCTGAAGTTCCATGTATTATTATAAATCCATCTATTATCGCAAGTCATCTTCTGGCTCTAAAAAATCCTATAGGAATAGATTGATAGATTCTAAGGCCAGAAGGGACCACTCTGTTATCTAGTCTGACCTCCTGTATAACACAGGACATAAAACTTCCACAAAAGAACTCCTAGAGCATATCTTTTAGAAGACTATCCAATCTTGATTTAAAAGCTGTCAGTAATGGAGAATCCACCAAAACCCTCGGTAAATTGTTCCAAAGGTTAATTACTGTCACTGTTTAAAAAATTGTCGTCTTTGTATTCTGAATTTGTCTAGTTTCAACTTCCAACCATTGGCTTGTGTTATACCCTTTTTCTGATGGGTTTGAAAAAATTTGATTATTAGATTGAAAAGCCCATTATAAGTATCTACATGGATAACAATTATTTAATAAACTGTAGTCAAGTCACCCCTTAACCTTTTCTTTGTTAAGCTAAATAGAGTGAGCTCCTTGATTCTATTGCTATGCTGTATGTTTTCTAATCCTTTAATCATTCTCGTGGCTCTTCTATCAATCGTTTTCAGTTTATCAATATCCTTCTTTTAAATGGTGGGCACCAAAACTGACACAGGATTCCAGCAGCAGGCGAACCACAGCCAAATAGAGGTAACATAACCTCTCTTCTCCTACTCAAGATTCCCATGGCTGTTTATGCATCCTAGGATCCTGTCAGCTCTTTCGGACACACTGTTACACTGAGAGCTCATGTTTGCCAGATTATCCACCACGCTCCCCAAACTTTTCAGATTCACTGCTTCCCAGGATAGAGTCTCTCATTCTGTAATTATGATCTTACATATAGAGTGACCAGATGTCCCAATTTTATAGGGACAGTCCCGATATTTGAGGCTTTGTCTGATATAGGTACCTATTATCCCCCACCCCCTGTCCCGATTTTCACACTTGCTATCTGGTCACCCTAGACACATTATTTGTTCCTAGATGTATACATTTAGCTGTATTAAAATACATGTTGCTTGCTTGCTTACAGTTTACCAAGCTATCCAGATTCCTTGGAATCCGTGACCTGTTCTCTTCATTACTTACCACTCACCCATTTTTTTGTGTCATCTGCAAACTCTATTTGTGTTGTTTTTTATGTTTTCTTCCAGATCATTGATAATGCTAAATAGTATAGGGCCAAGAACTAATCCCTGCTGGGCCCTGCTGAAAACACACCTGCTTGGTGACTATTTCCCCCCCTTTACAATTACAGTTTGAGACTTATCAATTAGCCAGTTTGTAATGTGGGCTTGTGGTGCTGGCAGGCCAGATGTCGTCAGCTCTTGCCAAGGCTGCAGGCATTAGCTAAGAACTGACAAACTCATGGCTGGAGACCAGACCATTCAATTATGTTAGTGTGTCATTCTCATAAGAATGTATTTGGTGTTTAGACTCTCTAGAATGTTTGTAAGTTGCTGCCAGAGCCGGCGCTTCCACTAGGCGACCCTTGGCAGTCGCCTAGGGCGGCAAGATTTGGGGGGCGGCATTTTGCCGCCCTCGGTGGAAATTCGGTGGCGGGGGGTCCTTCCACTCCGGGTCTTCGGCGGAAATTCGGCGGCAGGTCCTTCACTCACTCCGGGACCCGCCGCTGAAGTGCCTCGAAGACGCGGAGCGGAAGGACCCCCGCCGCCAAGGGCGGCAAAAACCCTGGTACCGCTCCTGGTTGCTGCATGCATTAATCTTATTTGTAATGTCTGTATTCCATGCTATAAGGAAATATGTAAGGTTTGCTTTATAACTTTGAAAATGTTTGCTCTAAACTTGTGAATCCAGATGGGAAGTGTGTTTTCCCCCTTCCCCACCCCCCCGGTCCAGAAGAACTATCAAAATCAGATGGTCTATCAAGGAATATCACAATACAAAGCATTTCCATTAATCAATCCTATGTGCAAGAAAGCTCGTCCTGTGGGCATGGAGGCTGAATGAGGGAAATAAAACACAGACCCAGGATAATATTTCATCTGTTGGCTGTTTGAACTCTCACAGGGCCAGAGACCCCAAACTGAAGTCAGAGATCCCCAGGGGCTACCTCCTGGGTCCTCCCTGAAAGACCCTTTGAATTGACAGATCACTACAACTCTGTCACGTTTAAGATTTAGATTGCAGCTCATTTGTGTGTGTTTGCTTGCTTTAGCCCGTAAATAACTAGGAAAAAGAAATAAGAAAGTTAACAAACCTTTGGATAGTTTATTCCAGGGTTGGCTGCAGGCCTTGTCTTTGGTGTAGGATCTAGGGCACCAATTGATCTGAAGTAAGTGACTAATTCCTTGGGATTGGAAGCATTCTATGTTGTGATTTTTGGTGTAAGTGGCCATTTATCACTAAGTCCAGTTTGCCTGGCTGGCAAGATAGACTGGAAAGTCTAAGGGGACTGTCTGTCGTTCCATGGTAAGACTTTTATAGTGATCCAGGAATTCACATTGGTTGCTGGCTTGGTTAAATCTAATTATAGAACATATCACTCATTTGGGGTGCTTTTGGTAGCCTGCCCTGAGGTAAGTACACATGGTTGTGAGTCACTCCTGACAGTGTGACATGAACCATGTTAATTTTACCTCTTTCTAGGTTGTTTTAATCAAAATATCATGCAATACCAAGTCAAAATGCCTTACAGAACTCTAAGTATATTACATCAACACTATTACCTTTATTAACCAAACTTGTAATCTCATCAGAAAAATCTTCCTTCGTTTGAAGGATCTATTTTTCCATAATCTCATGCTAATTTGCACTAAGTACATTATTCTCCTTTCATTCTCTATTAAGCGAGTCCTGTGTCTGTCTCTTCAACATCTTGCCCTGGATTGATCATAGGTCTGAAAGGCCTATAATTATCTGGTTCATCCCATTTACCCTTTTTAAAAAGTGCACCAAGAGTTACTGAAAATCACCATTAACTGTCCAGCAAGTTCATCAGCCAGGTCTCTTAAAACTCTAGGACAGTTGCAGTGTATTTTCAAGTGCACATTATATTCATAATATATTGCCCAGTGAAATAGTGTTGTGACTGGATATTGGAAACTTTCTAAGGTAAGGAATGATATTAATAACTAAGCTCTCATGTCAGGTTGGCTGTATTCTTTTTTTAGCATAGCAAATTCAGTCCAGATTTCTTTTTCCCCCAGGTGCCAGTAATTTCATACAGTATAAACTTGATATCAGTTATTCCGTATAATTTTTTTTATGAAACAAAGCTGAAACAGCAATATTTTGTCTTTTTTAAAAAAGTAATCATTAGATAAGATTCACATAACTACGCTTAACAATTCTGATGTGTTTGCATATGCAGTTACAAAATTTCATAAGTAAGTTTCCTTTTGGTCTATGTGCGTCATGGGTCAGCTATGGTACCTTGCAGTTGCAGTACATATTAAATGTATTCTCTCCAGAGTAATTTAAATGCTTGTGAGGTGCTGATCATTTTCTGTTAGCTGTTGAACATCCTCTGCTCCCAAATGAAGCACCTTGCAAAACCTGGCTTATAGTACATACAATGGTACATAAGGTTAGAAAAGTCAGTTCCTCCACTTCAGCCTCGAGCAAAGAGCAGGATCTTATTTTTCTAGATTTTTTTTTTAATCTATCCTGGTTTATGACATCTCTGATGATTCACCTGCCTTACCATGTAGTTCATTCCATTGACTAATTGCCCCTATTAAGAATGTTTATTCTTTTGTCTAATCTGACTTTTGAAATTTTTTCTTTTAGACTGCTATTCCTTTAATCAGATTTATATTTATTTTACACCGAAAAAACTATGTGCAAATAAAATGAAATGCTTGTGTTTCCTTAGGCTTTTGGATGCATTTTATTACAGAAATATCATTGGCTTCCTATAATTTTGGATGTTAGGGAGAATTTGTGTAAATATGGAAAACTGTTTGAAAGTTTCCCATATTAATGAGGATTAGAAAAATGAAGGCTGATCATCTTCTTTCCTCAAAGCTCTGAAAGGGGTTAGCTCCCAGTGATGTCAATGGGCAGAGAGACAAGTCTGGCTTTTAGGATGCATTCAGCATACTGCAGGGTCAAGATGATAATTATTTACTGCTATACTGAAACTGTACACTGTTCTCAGGCTTGATCTTGCTATTATTCCACAGCAGAACTCTCATTGACTTCAGGAGGAGGTTTTTAGTGTGGATTTATGGCAGCAATGGATTCTAATTAGTCTTTCTGAACTGGATTATCTCACTTTTCCTTTAGAAGGGCATTCTAACCATTTGCTCAATGTTTTCTTTCTTTCATAGGTCATTGGGGGCGATGTATAGGTGACTGCGGGTCAGGTGGTATTCGGAGTCGAGCCGTGTGGTGTGTCCATGTAGAAGGTTGGACAACCCACCATTCAAACTGTGAACTGAGGGACAAACCTGAAAACCAAAGGAGCTGCTTTCAAGTATGTGACTGGCACCTTGAACTCTTTGAGTGGGAAGTTTCAGAATGGCAGATATGTGTGCTTGTTCCTTTTGCTCATGGTGAAGTCAAACCAAGGACTACAGACTGTGTGACTGCACAGCATGGGCTACAACACAGAAGCGTACATTGTATTCAGAAACTGAATAGAACTATAGTTGCCAGTGAAATATGTGAATATTTTATACCACAGCCACCTGTAGAACAAGCTTGTCTAATACCTTGTCCACGGGATTGTGTTGTATCAGAATTCTCCAAATGGTCTGAGTGCAGCAAAGACTGTGTGAGGAGTTTACAACACAGAACTCGTTTTGTTATCTCTCCTCCACTCTATGGTGGTTCCAATTGTCCAAATCTTACTGAATCAAGAATCTGTGATGTCCCTATCCCTTGTTCTCTTGGGGAAGAGGAATACACTTACAGTCTTCAAGTTGGACCTTGGAGTAAATGCAGGTTGCCTCACCTTAAAGAAGTTAGTCTTATTGGAAGAACTATGCTGGATTTCAGTTCGGATTCTGCAGAACGAAGCACATTCAAACTGCACAGTTATAAATCCCACCACTATTCCAAGCCATGGGATGTAGAAATAGGTTATCAGACAAGGCAAGTTAGGTGTACAAGGAGTGATGGGAAAAATGCTATGCTGAGGTAAGGGTATCTTCACATTCATCTTTTATTTTATCTAAAATAGGTTTGTTTTGTAGAAAGCTGGCAGACAGGTTCTGCCTGGTAACACGATGCAAAGGCACTTAGTTTTTGAGTTTTAAACCCACATTTTAATGCACTTTTTGTTTTTTACTTTGGCTTTGCAAGGAGGGTAAACAATGTAATTGGGCTATTTTGCATACTTTTACTATTTGTGAATGTTTACATGAATTTTGTTTTTAATGCTCCCTTTTTGTGCTAGTGTAACCCACATATCTCCTGAGTGTGGTGTTCTGTCCCACCTAGTGGCACCGAGACCACTTACACACAGAGAGCTAAATGTGTCTGCTCTACAGCCTTAGCTAACAGCCAGTTGGCTTTAGCTCATGAGATAGAGGCTCATGCACTAAGCTCTAGAGGTCCCCCGTTCGATCCTGCCTGCCGACGACCAGGGTCTGTCAGAGTTATACTAGTCTCAACTTATTTTTGTTTGTCCATTAAAGGAAATGGAAGAGTATATTGCTTTCTTTGTAATATTAACAATTCCAATTAAAATTTTTTTTGCTGTAGATACAAATTATTCTTGTAGAATGTAGTATTACTTTTGTTAGACTGAATGTGCCAAACTCTATCCCAACCTAAACTCTTGGTATTTTCACTGATTACATCATGGGTGCAACTCAGTGAAGAATTTTGGCACAATACCAATTGAGATATTGATATTTCCAGCAATGTTGTTTTAGCTAATGAAAGTTCAGTAATAGTTTTAGAGTAGCAGCCGTGTTAGTCTGTATCCGCAAAAAGAAGAACAGGAGTACTTGTGGCACCTTAGAGACTAACAAATTTATTAGAGCATAAGCTTTCGTGGACTACAGCCCACTTCTTCGGATGCATATAGCATCCAAAGAAGTGGTCTGT